AACAGGTGTTTCAAAAGGTCCCGCACTCTCTTCGAGATTGCCCCACGCTTTACAGGGATAGCGAGACATCGGGGGGAAACAAGAAGCTGAGAATGTCCAGTACACCATAGAGAGGACTTTAAGAATATTGCCTCTTTGGGATACTACGAAATTTATATTATGTACAATAACATAATGTGTAATTCTTTTTACCATATTTTTGAAGGCTCTGAAAAAGTAAACGTCCAAAGGTTGAATGAGTGAGGTAGCGCCCCGTGGAATATTGCGCAACACTAGCTCCTTGCCCATAGAGATAGCCGTTTCCTGAATAGTGGCATGGCCCTTAAATGACGTCTACGAGTCCAACAAAAGATATGTAGACTGCGAACTTACTGGGACCAAAACGCATGTCTTGAGCCAGTCAACCATATCCATCTTGCTCATAATATGTGTATTCGAGGCCCGAACGACAAGGTTATCGGCCATGCAATGACCTCTATTTGGGAAAGTACCACCGCTCTCCTGCATAACAACGAAAAGCTTTGAACCTAGACTCCCATCTGCGTACAGTATTGGGAGAATAGTGTATGAATGAGTTGTTGCAGACGACGACTGTATCAGGCGTTCCCCTTTTTAACCCCCGTAGGGGCTAGAGTGCGAGGCACGGTGAGCTCCTGAATTAGAATAATCGAGTTGATCTGGGTTAACTGGAAAGATAGTATAAGATGTACTTTATTAAATCCCGATTGGTCGGCATTCGCTATGCAGGAGAGCGGTATGCCATGGATTTCATCCCTTACTTTGGCGACAAACTTCTGCGCTTCTTCCTCTATCAGTTTTCTATCATGATGCAGTTTCTTGGTTACAAGCTTCGTCACTCTTCGGGAGGAGATTCCTGCATGCTTCCTGAATTTTTGAATCCAGCGGAGAGAAGCCTGACATGAATTAGTGATTTCATAAGAAACGGTCTGCTTATAGGGGTATTTTAAGTATACACCTTAAACTCATCGGCATGAATTTTATCTCGATTTATAGCCAGCGCCAGCTGCTGAAGGTCTGCGTCATGAAGAGTTTTTGTACTTCGCCTAACCAAGTTCCAGCTTTTCCTTCACTTCCTCTTCGAGAATAGAAGCCAGTAACTTCAAAGGAATGCATCTT